GGTGCAGGCTGCGCTGAGGGGACACCCCCCACCCTGTGCATGAATTTTGTGCACCAGGCCTCTAGTATCCTAATAATGTTGAATAGCTTTTTACCATATATGCTTATTGGTCACTTGGCTATTCTCTTATAAATTATTATATAAAGAATTAATTTACTCTTTTCCCAAAATAATTAATGGTAGTAACAGATTATAACTCATTGAATAAGATAGGAATCTTTGAGTTTGGATGGATGGATGGATGGATGGATAAAAGAAAGTACACCAATAGAAAGAATAATTAATTTACTCTTTTCCCACAGATTCTCTATACATTCTAGATATGAGTTCTTTTTAAGGTATATGAATTAAAGATATCTTTTCCCACTCTATTGCTTGCTTTTTAACCATCTAATAGTGTCTTTAATGAGCAGAGCTTTTCATATTAATAAACTTCCCTTTACTATTCTTTTGTGGTTAGTGTCTTAAATAAACATTCTTACTAATTGTAATAATGCTTTCCATTGAGGGAGGCAGTATAACAAACTAGTTGGGAGCATGGATTCTGCAGTAGGAGAGCCTGGGCTACCACCATTTATAGGTTGTGTGATTTTGAGTAGATAACTTAATTTCTCTGTGCCTCAATTTTCTCATTTGTAAAATAAGGTAATAATACCTATGTCATAAAGTTGTTATGAAGATTAAGTTAATATTTGTGAAGTGTTTGCTGATTTGCACTATATATTAAATAAATGAAGCATATAGTATGTCATATATTCCACAACTATATTAATAAAAGAGAAATATGCAAATTGACCACACCTCCGTGACACACATCAGCCAATCAGGAGTGAGTATACAAAATAACCCAACAATGATGGCAAGTTAATTTGCATACATAAGTGTGGAGTGGCTGGGCAGGATGCCTGCTATGAGGGGAAAGGGGAGGAGTAGTGCTCTAGCCTGGACCTGCAGGCTCTTGGGAGGCTGGGAAGAAGGACTATCCTTAAACAAATCTTTGTGCAACGGGCCTCTAGTAGATTATAAAGTTTTTAAAATCAATGTCTGTATCTCCTCTGTGTTTTATTCTCATAATACCTATTATTAACATGTAAATATAAAGTATTTGGTAATTATCAGAATAACTTTCTAGAAAAAAGTGAAATGGAACCCCAGAATATCCAGAAGTCAGGAATCTATGCCGAGAAGAACTTGGAAAAGCTTAACTAGTTTAATCTATAGAAAGGGGAAAGAGTAATTAATAAGCAGTTACCTTTTTGTTTTATCAAGAAACAAGAAGCTTTTAATCATTCTTTGGAGAAAATCTATATAAATCTAAATATTTGTACCATAAAAATAATCCTACCCATTCTCTTATTTCTGGTCTGTGGCAGGAAAATCTATTTTTGTTGCCTCTTGGAGAGAAAATAGGGAAGGGAAAATAGAGTCTGTATTTCTACTTTGACATAAAGTTGATGAGAGTTCTATATAGATTTTCCACAGATGGAACATTTGAGTTAAATAATAGTATGCAATAATGTACATATAGTCCCTTCCTCTGACCCTCACCTTGTGACTTTAGTATAGATGTTAAGATAAATGTTAAACTGAATAATAACAATGTACATATCAATGTCTTGCCATTTGGAATGGTTTCATATGTAATACTAAATATTTTAAAAATTAAGAAGCTATTGTATTTTGGCATCAAACTGTGATACTATAGCTAATGCTTACTAAGCTGAAAGGACATATCTGATTTTAAACAAATTTTTAATGTCCTGTAGGATCTGTGCTACAGTGAGTTGTTATATGGTTAGACTTAAATGCATCTGAATGTAAAACAAAACCTGAAAAAATGTTGACATTGAATCAAGATAATATAAATAGATATTTAGTTTAGGTAAATCATCCTGCATCCCATTTAGAATCGATCATCTTTAGTTTCCTGGTTTCTTTTTATGTGATTTCTATACATTCTTTATTTGGAGTAAATTTATCTTGATTGTGAGGTCAAGGAAGAACCTTATACTGACTTTGTTCAGCATCCCTGAGGGACAAAGTTTGAAAAAGAGTAATTTCTATAGCTGGTAACTACTGAAAAGAAGCCTAAACAGAAAGAGACTCTAAAAACTAATTGTATGGAAAGAATGTAGCAGTCTGGAAGCAGAGAATTAAAATGAATGCCAGAGATAAGGAATTTTAAGGGTCCTATTTTCAGGGCCAAAATGAACCTGAAAGGGTTTTATTTTTGGAGTGATGAAAATATTCTTGGATTAGAGAGTGGTGATGGTTGATAACTTTACTGAAAGGCACTGAATTGTACAGTTTGTGATAGTTTATGGTATGTTAATTATATATACCAATTTTGAAAAAATTGTCTGTGAGAAAAGTGGTCAGTCAGGTCTCTTTGGCATAGGATAGGAACCCAATCAGGATAAGTAAAGCATCTGTGTGCAGGATGGCAATGAACAACAGTGAAATTTGTTACATGTAGGGGGACTAGATGAAGTAACTAAGGATAATGAGAGCCAGATTTGTCATTATTAGGGAACAGAGTTACAGCTTTGGAAAGGAGAAAAACTACCAATAACTGTATGGAATTTAATTTGTATTAGAGCACCACTGTGAATTTTAGGAGGAGTTGTATAAATAAATGTGTATGTTTATGTATGCATACATATATGTATGTACGTGTATGAATATACTGACTTAGTCCACTGAGTGGACTTGGAGAACAATGACATCCTAATAGAAATGAACATAAGTGATATTCTATATACCTTTCTTCACTAAAAAGAACCAGGGCTTCTTGGGAAAAAGACTCATTCCAGGCAGGGAGAGTACAAGATGAGACTCAAGCATCTTGTGCTATAAAGTAAGAAGTGCTCAGAAAATGACAGGGGTATGTTAAAATTGAAAGAGCTTTCCTGGGACAAAGCAACAAAATAATTAATGGTAGTAACAAATTATAACTCATTGAATAAGATAGGAATCTTTGAGTTTGGATGGATGGATAGATGAAAGTACACCATAGAAAGAGTAATTAATTTAGAAAAATCACTCTTTGGCAAGTATGGTGATAATTATTTCAACTAAGAAAATTAATGGATGCTAAAAGTAGGAAAAATTTGTTGAAGAGAGCTTCAGACTGATACTTGCACAACAGTGTATGTACTTTCATTATTCATAAGATAGTAGATGTTGAAACAACCCAAGTTCCAACATCAGATGAATAGGTAAACTAAATTTTATATACACACAGTGGAATATTAGTCATAAAAAGGGGTGAAATAAAAAAGTGAAATTCTGATATATGCTAAAACATGAATAAACCTTGAAAACATTACACAAAGTGAAATAAGCTAGACATAAAAAGACTAATATTGTTTGATTGTAATCATATGAGATACCTAGAATAGGCAAATTCACAGAGACAGAAAGTAGAAGAGAAGATACTAGGTACTGTGTTTCCCCGAAAATAAGACATCCTCCGAAAATAAGACCTACTTACAGGTTTCCTTCTGAGTGAAATATAAGGTATCCCCCCGAAAATAAGGCCCACACAAGAAATTCACCAGGAAATTCAGGAATTGGATTGTTATGATGAGGTTCCAGAAGATGATAACATGATTGTCATTGAATAAATGAGTAAATTCTTGATACTGTAGGATTCATAGTTTGTCTGGTTTGTGTTGACAACTACTGTACTACCGTACCGTATACAGATAATAAATTTCCTTTATTTTCATTTAACAATAAATGTGTACTGTATTCTTCTTCATGGAAAAATAAGACATCCCCTGAAAATAAGACCTAGCGCATCTTTGGGAGCAAAACTTAATATAAGACACTGTCTTTTCAGGGAAACAGGGTAGTAAGAGGGGGAATTGGGAGTTATTATTTAATGGGCTAAGAGTTTCTTTGGGGGAAGATTAAAAAGTTCTGGAAATGGACAGTAGAAAAGGTTGTACAACATTTTCAAAGTACTTAATGCCATTGAATTGTATATTTAAAAATAGTAAAAATGACAAATGTGTTTATCACAAAAATATTTTTTTAGTTTGGGAGTTTGTTGAAGAAGGGGGTATTTACATAGTCTCAGAGTATCCCCTTGAAAAATACTTATTCACTACAAAGAGAAAAAGTGTGATTTTAGAGTAGAGAAATCTGACAGACACTACCATAACCAAGCAATCAAAGTTAACACAGCAATACTTTTGTCAAATCATGAGGTAACATAAGATAAACTCAAATTAAGGGGCATTGTGCAAAACAACTGGCCTATAATCTTCAAAAGTGTCAAGGTCATGAAAGTTAAGACTGAGAAACTGTTCCAGATCAAAAGAAATAAAAGAGAACTGAACACTAAATGCAATGATTAATCCTAAATTGTTGAATCCTTTCACATTACTGGGACAAATGTGAAAATTTAAATGGAGTCTGTGCATGAAATCATAATAATGTAAAATGTTAGTTTCCTGATTTCTCTGCTGGTACTATAGTTACATAAGAGAATGTCTTTGTTTATAGGAAATACATAAGATCTGGGGATGATGGGACATCATGTCAATACTTTCAGATTGTTAAGGAAAAAATACTCTTTGTATTATCTTGAAATTTTTTTTGTAAGTTTGAACTGATTTAATTTAAAAATTAAGAATAGTTACACAAACTCTAAAGAAAAACAAAACAAAACCTGAACAAAGGTGGTGATTATGGCCAGGAACTAGATCCCAAAACGAGGACTATATTGGAAGGCTAACTGCCAAAGAAATAGGAAACTTTTTCTATTCAGTAAGTTACAAAAACATTTTCTCAAAGTCATTTTAAGTAAATAAATAGAGAATAATCTGAGAAGAGTTTATCAGTTATAATATGTAAATGTGGGAAAGTCAGGTTCTAGACAGGGACCCTATTATTGTGGAAACAAAGGAAATAACCAAGCTAAATGTAATAATAGTTGTAGAAATAGCCATTTTATTTTGTAAAGTTTATGTTTCGGTGTTTTCCTGTTTCAGGTGATGCTGAACAGGAACTTGGTCCCCCTCCATCTGTAGATGAGGCAGCAAACACACTCATGACTCGTCTGGGTTTCCTCCTTGGAGAGAAAGTCACAGAAGTTCAGCCAGATGACCAATACAACATGGAAGTAGAAGATGAAAATCAGGTAAACTGCTTGTCACCAATTCTCTGAAACATGGGCTATATCAACCTGTTAAACCAGGAAAGGGCAAATGTCGTGTGTGTGTGTGTGTGTGTGTGTGTGTGTGTGTGTGTGTTTTGAGAGGAATAATCCCAATTGCTGAATGCTTTTTGATACCTGAAGATATAGCTTAATTTTCTATAATCACTTTATCTGTTCAGTTTATAAAACATTTTTAAGTTTCATTCTTAGCTTTAAAAAATAATGTTAAGGTTTTGATTCGGTGGGCAGTTAGGGGTGACCAGGCCAGCAGAGGAGAGCAGTTAGGGGCAATCGGGCTGGCAGGGGAGGGCAGTTAGGCGTCAATAGGCTGGCAGGGAAGTAGTTAGGGGGTGATCAGGCTGGCAGGCGGAAGCGGTTAGGGGCAATCAGGCAGACAGGCAGACGAGTGGTTGGGAGCCAGGAGTCCTGGATTGTAAGAGGGATGTCCCAGATTGGAGAGGGTGCAGGCTGGGCTGAGGGACACCCCCCCCCCAAATGCATGAATTTCATGTACTGGGCCTCTAGTTAGTATATAAGTATATAAGCTATATGTATATGTAAAAAAAAAGCTACTTCAGCCAAAACCGGTTTGGCTCAGTGGTAGAGCATCGGTCTGCGGACTGAAAGGTCCCAGGTTCGATTCTGATCAAGGGCATGTACCTTGGTTGCGGGCACATCCACGGTAGGGGGTGTGCAAGAGGCAGCTGGTCGATGTTTCTCTCTCATCGACATTTCTAGCTCTCTATCTCTCTCCCTTCCTCTCTGTAAAAAAATCAATAAAATATACTTTAAAAAAAAAAAAGCTACTTCATAGCTTTCATACTTCCATTTTCAAATTTCTTAAATGAGGGAAATAATGTCTTATACTTAGTTAATAAATGAGCAAATGAAATATTAAAATTTTTAAAACTGTATAGTATTAAACAAAGGCAAAGTATATATATATATATATATATATATATATATATATATATATATATATATATATATATAAAAGCCTAAGTGACCGGCCAACTGGCCGACCAGCCAACCGGCCAGTAGCTATGATGCGTACTGACCACCAGGGGGCAGACGCTCAACACAGGAGTAGAAACCACAGGCATTGAAACATGGAACAAACTGATGAATCTCAAAGGGAAGGGGAGAGAGGGAGGGTGGGAAGAGATTAACCAAAGATCTTATATGCATATAAAGGCCCAGTGCATGGATTCGTGCATAGGTGGGGTCCTTGGCCTGGCCTGCGCCCTCTTGGATCCAGGACACCTTGGGGGATGTCGGAGAGCAGGTTTTGGCCCAATCCTCACAGGTCAGGCTGAGGGACCCTACCAGTGCACGAATCTGTGCACTGGGCCACTAGTTAATAATAAAGCTAAATGATAGCCTTCTTGGAGTATAGTATACCATAATACTATTGTGGAACCACAGAAGAAAGTGACTAAATTAATAATAAAGCTAATAATAAAGCTAATAATAAAGTTAATAATAAAGCTAAATGATAGCCTTCTTGGAGTATAGTATACCATAATACTATTGTGGAACCACAGAAGAAAGTGACTAAATTAATAATAGAAGTTCAAGCCTTAGGAAGATTATTGTGTAGTAGGAGGTCATGTTCATTTAGGGACTTTTCTTCTGAGCTAGACAGTGTACTCACAAAGATAGAATGCTTATATTTCATGCAAATGAAAAGGGGTAAAAAGCTGGGGTAACAATACTTATATCTGACAAAGTAGACTTTAAAATAAAAGAGACAAAAAAAAAGGACACTATATAATGATGAAGGGAGCAGTCTAACAAGAGGATATAACCTCATAAACATTTATGCACTCAACACAGGAGTGCCTAAATATGTAAAGCAAATCTTGATGAATATAAAGGGAGAGATGAACAATAATACAGTCTTAGTGGGGAATTTTTAAAAAATATAGTTTTATTGATTTCAAAGAGTACAGGAGAGAGAGAGAAAGAAATATCAATGATGAGAGAGAATCATTAATCAGCTGCCTCCTGCACTCCCTTTTGGGGTTCCAGCCCATAACCCAGGCATGTGCCCTGACTGGGAATCAAACTGTGATCTTCTGGTTTATAGATGGACACTCAATTATTGAGCCACACGAGCCTAGCATAGTAGGGATTTTAACACCCAATTGACAGCAATGGATAAATCTTCCAGACAAAAAATCAACAAGGAAACTGTGGCCTTAAATAACACACTAGATCAGATGTATTTAATTGATATCTTCAGAGCATTTCACCTCAAAGCAGCAGAATATACATTCTTTTTAAGTGCATCTGTGACATTTTTTCTTTAAAAAAAAAAATATTGATTTTTTTTTTTTTTTTTTTTTTTTTTTTATAGAGAGGAATGGAGAGGGATAGAGAGTCAGAAACATTGATGGGAGAGAAACATCAATCAGCTGCCTCCTGCACAACCTTTCCCCCTCCCCCCACTGGGGATGTGCCTGCAACCAAGGTACATGTCCTTAACTGGAATCAAATCTGGGACCCTTCAGTCTGCAGGCCGACTCTCTATCCACTGAGCCAAACCAGTTAGGGCATTTTCTATGATTAAACCACATGTTAGGACACAAAACAAGTTCCAATAAATTTAAGAAGATTGAAATTAACATCAAGCATCTTCTCTGACCATAATGCCATGAAACTAGAAATCAATCACAGGGGGCAAAAACACACAGAAAAACACACAAAAATGTGGAGGCTAAATAACATGTTACTAAACAATGAATGGGTCAACAATGAGATCAAGGGACAAATCAAAAGATAACTTGAAACAAATGAGAACACAACAATCCAAAATCTTTGGGGCACAGCAAAAGCAGTCTTGAGAATGAAACTCATAGTAGTACAGGCATATCTCAAGAAACAAGAAAAAATTCAAATTGAACATATTTGCTGATACATCTGATAAAGGCTTAATATCCAAAATATATTTAAAAAAAAAAAAAAAACTTATAAAACTCAAAACCAAAAAAAAACAAAAAAACAATCCAATTAAAAAATGGGCAAAGGACTGGAATAGACACTTCTCCAAAAGGGACATAAAAGTGGCCAATAGTCATATGAAATGATGCTCCACAGTAATAATCATCAGAGAAATGCAAATTAAAACTACACTGAAGTATCACCTCACACCTATTAGAATGGCTGTCATCAATAGATCAACAGAGGCTAGGCTCCTCCCTTTGGGATTGCTACAGCTGTTCGGATCTGGGGTGGCTCCATCCTTTGGGACTGGGTTCGGTTCTCAGGGCTAGGCTCCACCCTTCGGCAATGGCTTTGTCCGGACTAATTGAAATCTTAGAGGCTGGGCCTCAGCTCTTGGCAACTAGTGTCAGCCCTTTGGGAGAGATTCGCCTCTTAGGCGTTGGCTGGGCTTTTCCGGGCATGGCCCAGTCTCCATGAGATTGTCTTACAGGAAAGGACCCTTAAGTGAGCATACTTGGCCTAGAAGCCAGAGGTTGAAAGGGTGGCTGATTCCCAATGAAGAGGTGCCTGTGGAAATCCCTGTAATACACTGAGGCTGGGAGGAAGGGGAGAGAAGAAAAAATGAAAAGAAGAAAAAGAAAAAATAAACCAACAGACAAGAAGTGCTTGTGAACATGTGGAGAAAGAGAACCCTCATGCACTGTTGGTGGAGATGCAGATAAAAATTAAAATGGAACTCTTATGGCTTGGCAATTCCTCATCTGGGGATATATCCCAAGAGACCTAGAGCAGTAATTCCAAAGAATATATGCATTCCTATGTTCACTGCAGCATTATTTACAATATCCAAGATCTGGAAGCAGCCCAGATGTCCATCAGTGGATGAGTAGATAAAAATGCTGTGGTACATTTGCACAATGGAATGCTACTATGCCATTAAAAAAGAAGTAAATGTTACGATTTGTGACAGCATGAATGAACCGGAAGAGCATTATACTAAGTGAAATAAGCCAGTCAGAGAAAGATAAGTATACGATTTCACTCATTATGTGGAATCTAATAATAAAAATAGAAATAGACTCATAGATACAGAGAACTGACAGCTGTCAGAGGGGAAGGAGTTTGGGGACTCATTAAAAAAGATAAAGGGATTAAGGGGGGGGGAAAACAACTCACAGACACAGCAGTATGATGATTCCCAGAGGGAAAATGGAGGTAGAAGATATAATGGTGATGGGAGGAGACTTGAGTTGGGGTATAGTATACAGATGTATAGAATTATACACCTTAAGCCTATATAATTTTACTAACCAGTGTCACCCCAATAAATTCAGTAAAAAAAGAGAGGAAACATTGCTTTGTTTTTGTCATTCCACAGGTGATTCTACTGCATGCCCAGTTAAAAATCATTCTTCTGATATTTTGTAAAGATAGAGGGGATTATAAAGAAATTGAAACTCCTTCCTCCTCTGGAGAAAAATTCTATAGTAGAAAAGAAGTGGCATATATTTGATAGCTTATATTTTAGGAAAAATCAGTTCCATATTTTTGATATGATTAAAAAGATTTACTTGGATGTAGGGTTCTGAGAATGTCACTTGTTCTTGTTGAGCTGAATGTATCTTTTATAATCTGCTTATAGCATATAAGTGAAAATAAAAACCTGACTTCAACACAAATTATTTAATACAAGGGATTGCATGTAGAAATATATTAGGGTGAGTCAAAGAGCCTTAATATCCTCATATCTAGTAACGAACACCTTTTCCAATCAAATATTAAATGTAAATCTTCAATTTTAGCAGAGAGAATATGAAGACTTTATTTAAAGAAGTTGAAAAGCTTCTTTTAAAATTAAGAATTAAAGATGTGAAATTTATCATCAGTTTTCTTTCATGTGATTTTTGTCATTGAACACACATTTTGAAAAGGATAGAATTTCTTTAGTCTTTGAAAAAAAATAGTACTTTTATTCATTATGTTAGTAATTTATTTGAATAGAAAGAGCTAAAGAAAATTGAATTATTATTAAATTCATTAAATCAAAATATATTACCACCAATCTTTTTTGTGATTATTTTTATTCCTCCCCATCAAAAACTTAAAAAGAGGTAAATTCAAGTGTAAGAATTACTCAGGATATAGAGGTCTTAGTGAGCAATCAGTTTCTACAGAAAAATTTAGTTTTTAATTAAATTAATATTGTTTGATTTATTTTATTAGACTAACTTTTAGATTAAAGCATTTTCCTGCATTCATTTATTGTTTCTGGACAGCCACCTATGTTTCCAAAACACACTTATTTGCATTATGAACCTTTTTTAAAATTTTTCTCAGCTGGAGCGTTTTTTTGTTTTTTTTTATCCAAAGAAAAATTATAAACAAGACAAAGTTCCAAGCTTTCAGAAGTTTTGATTGGAAACTTAGCAAGATCAACTTGTACTTAATTTAAAAATGTTTTCCAGCCCTACCCTGTTTGGCTCAGAGGATAGAGCATCAGCCTATGTACTGAAAGGTCCCAGGTTCGATTCTGGTCAAGGGCATGTATCTTGATTGCGGGCACATCCCCAGTAGGAGGTGTGCAGGAGGCAGCTGATTAATGTTTCTCTTTCATCGATGTTTCTAACTCTATCCCTCTCCTTTCCTCTCTGTAAAAAAAAAAAAAAAAAAAAAATATATATATATATATATATATATATATATATATATATATATATATATTTAAAATGTTTTCCATTAATTCATGTTAATGATATTTATTTATTTATTTATTTAAAATATATTTTATTGATTTTTTTACAGAGAGGAAGGGAGAGAGATAGAGAGCCAGAAACATCGATGAGAGAGAATCATTGATCAGCTGCCTCTTGCACACCCTCTACTGGGGACATGCCCACAACCAAGGTACATGCCCTTGACCGGAATTGAACCCGGGACCTTTCAGTTCCCAAGCCGACGCTCTATCCATTGAGCCAAACCGGTTTCGGCAATTCATGTAAATGATAAAGAATACTTATTACTTGAAATTTTCTAGGCAGAAAAACTGGCCACAGTCCCTGCTCATTTTAAGTTTAAGTATCACCTTAATTGTAGAATGCAGAATATCTTATCCTGGAAGGCAAAAACAAATAGAACCGCAGTAAATGTAAAAGCTGCATGCAGATTTTCTTTTTTTTCTCATCAAATATTATGTTTTACCATAAGATAATATTTTACTTTAACAGCTGGTGAGTTTATCTTACTTTTCATTCCGATTTTTCAGACCTCAGCAATCACCCAGCGGATAAGTCCCTGTTCCACCTTGACTAGCAGCACTGCCTCTCCACCAGCCAGTAGCCCCTGTTCCACCCTCCCAGCAGTCAGTACAAATGCAACAGCCAAGGACTGCAGCTATGGGGCTGTCACTAGTCCAACCTCCACCCTCGAAAGCAGAGATAGTGGCATCATTGGTGAGTTGATTTTTATGTTAATCATTTTATATCTTTTTTTAAAAAATAATTACACAAGCTTACAGTTTTCAAAAAAACTGGTATTTATTATCCTTAACAAAACTCTTTAACAAATTGAATCCAGGAATATATAAAAAGGGTAATAGAGACAATATATAAAGAGGATAATTCATGACTAAGTGGAGATGGGGGCCACTGATATTTTGAGAAGCCTGATGGTGACGGCCCACTCTAATGGAGTTGACAGGGAGATGTTGCTGTGGCCCTGGGCTCCCTAATATCAGTGGGGGTATGGAGACTGGTTAGCAGCACTTAATTCTCAAATGCAAGGAGGACATATTTTGATCAAGAGCTACAAGGCAAGAAGGCAACCAGGTTGTCTTCCTTTGTAATTCACCTTCTTTCCTTGCTACTATCAAGTCCAGAACTCCATTTAATTTTCCAAAGAGAAAACTTCATTGAAAAGAAACATGGAAATTACCTCATGAACTTAGGTCTCTCCTTTTAACAATAGGAATATTTAAAATGAAAGAAGAGAATATGAACTAACATTTAAAAACTCTCCTGGGATGATATTCTTGTTTTATAATTATTGCTGAGATTTTTATAATTTAGATTTTAATGTATTTGAGCCCTTCCATACCTAAGGTTGATGGAAATTTTCCTATTAATAATTCTTATTTATAATTAGTTATAAGACTCAATAAAGTTCTAGAAGCCTTTTCAGTTTTTGTTTGATTTCATTAAGGGACCAGATAGGATTAGAGCTACAGTTCAAGTATACAAACAAGGCCCTGTATTGCCTCCTTATTAGGACACATTCTTTCTCCTCTGTTAGCTTCTTCTTAGGGACTGTTTCTTTTTTTTTTTTTTTTCTAATTCTTTGTTACATATAAAGGACCAGGAAATAAATTTAAATGAGGGAAAATATAAGATACAAAGAGTATAAATATAAAGATATTTTTGAGACCTCTTGAGCACTCCAGTAATTCATGAAAATTATATAAATTTCCTTTTGATGAAATTCTGAACATTTTAGCACTGATAGACCTTCCTTGTTTGTCCTTTAGCACTGATGTATGAGTTTGTTTGATTTATTTAAATAGAGTTGTTAAGATAAAAATTAGAGAGATAAAAGAAAATATGTGAGAGAAATACTTTTGTTTCAATTATCTAAACTTCATGATAGAAATGAAAAGATCATCAGTAACTTTTAAAAAATAATGTAACTAATATTCTTACTATCTAGTCTTGAATTTATAGTACTAACGGATTAATCTCCAGGATTGTTGTTGTTTTAAACAATTCATTTTACTTTCTTTTTTTTTCTAGCTACATTGACAAGTTATTCTGAAAATGTAGAACGCACAAAGTATGTTGGGGAAAGCAGTAAAGAATTAGGATCTGGAGGAAATCTAAAACCTTGGCAGTCTCAAAAATCCAGCATGGATTCCTGTTTATACCGAGTAGATGAAAATATGACAGCTTCCACCTATAGTCTGAATAAGATCCCAGAGAGGAATTTGGAAACAGTTTTATCGCAATCAGTACAGTCTATTCCTCTGTATCTTATGCCACGACCAAATTCAGTAGCAGGTAAGGTTTTTTTTAAAAAATATATCATTTTATTGGCATCTCTATTGAAATGAAAATAAATTATCTAACAGTATTTAAATTTCCCATTCATTTTCTTTGATTAAGCTGCTCTTTTGTGTTTAGATAATATACATGTGTATATCTTTTTTAACTTGGGGGAAGGCTTGTGTTCCTCAAAAGGTTGATTGTTTAGTTCTCCCAAAATACATAAAAACATGCACAAAATCGGGAAAAGAATCTATAAAGTACATTGTTGAACTTCTGAAAATCTTTTTTCTCACAGAAATCTTTGAAAGGATTTCAGTTTGAGGTTTTAAAGTTTAAAAAAACACACATTAAATTAAATTGAAATATATTTCAGTAGAGTTTGTATTATCAGAAATCATCCTCTGTAGTTTGAGGTAGTGGCAGACAGGCAAGAATTCTACTTCCATATTCTCAGAGCTCACTGTTCTCACAGTGTCCTGACTATCTTATTATGAAAGAATTACCAGGTGCCTACATTGCTAAAGAATAACTCATAAATACCACTAGCAGCATCAGTCATAAAGGAATGGTTCTGAAGTTTAAATGGCTGGAATATAGAACCATTATTCTTAAGCAGCTATTTAGAATTGATGTCTAAAGATATTTTTCCTACACCCAAGTTATATTTAATATTCAGACCAGGAACTTTTGCAGAATAATTGGTAATTCTGGCATTTTAAAAATGTGTCATAATTTGAATGTTGTCCATACTATAAAATCACAGTTAGTCTTTTTCACTTGTCTGATGAATGACTGGCGAGGAATATTTTACTGATACAAGATAATAAATTACTGACTATAGTCAAGTGCTCTTAGATCACAGATATAATTATTTATGCAGGTGATAGTGTAATGCTTTTTGCCTTTCCCAGTACTTTTTTATTTTCATACCTTTTCTAAACCATCACTCTTTGTTCCAACCTCTGGGAGACTATCAGCATCTGTCATCATGTGGTTATGCAGACAATGCCTCACTTGGCAGAACAGTAATTCAGAAGATTTTATTATTAATTTTTCAGGATTATTTGCTTTAATATGATGATAGAATATTTTCTCTCCTAGGCCTTTTTTAAATATGTTGATTCTTACCCATAATGTCATATTAGAATCCTAGAATGCTATAAGTTTCAAGAAATACATTGTGAGGTGAAAAGCCCAATATTATTTATACAAATAAAAGTATAAATATACAAATGAAAGCATAAAGACATATACAAATGATTGTAACAAATCTCTTTGTAATAGCCATCAACAGGTGAATGGATAAACTAATTATATTATATCTTTGCAATGGATACTACTGAGCAACAAAAATAAATTAACTATTTGTTTGTTTGTGGGGGGGGGTGTTGTTTTTTAGAGAGGAAGGAAAGGGGAGAGACAGAAGCATTACTGTGAGAGAGATACACATCAGTTGGTTGCCTCCCACACGTGCCCTTGTCTGGAATTGAACCTTTGAGTCCACAGGCTGACACTCTATCCACTGAGCCAAACTAGCTAGGACAGAAATGAATTATTGATACTATTATTACAGAAGGCAGGATAAAAACCAAGCAATGCTTAGAGAAAGGGAAGTTACATTTTATTATAATTATGCGCAGGCCCAGAGAAAAATGTGTCTTTTAAATTCTGAGCCCCCAACATGGAAGAAATTTTCCCTATTTATACTTTTTCTAGTTCTTTGTTTTTCAAGTTTGGAATGAGACTTCTGGACCTTCTGAAAAAGAAGGCCTACATGCTAGGAAGGGGCCATAAGACCATACCTCAAGGCCTGGCCTGGTTCCAACACTGACAGCTCTGTCTAGGGCATAGTTTATGGTCTCTCTGGAATGGGAGTAGTCTTATTTTTCTTACTATTTAAGCAAGCAAGCATTTACAGAAGCCAAAATAGCAGGGTAAAAATTTCAAATGGCAGTTTTTATATAAGATGGATGCTTCACTGTAACAACCAATGAATCTCAAAATAATTATGTTTAGTGAAAGAAGCCAGATTGTTTTTAAAGTACATACATAGTATATGATTCCATTTACATAAAAATCCTAGGTAATGCCAATATTCTAGGTAAATTGCAAAATAGCAGATCCTTTTCGGTTCTTGACAATGAGGTACTATTATACTCATAACCACAAAATTAAAAGGAATAGCAGTGCCAGTGATAGTGAGGATATAATGCAATTGAAATTGTCATACATTACTGGTGGGAATATATTAATAAATTGATACTACCACTTTAAAAAGTTGCTTGGCAAGATCTATTAAAGACATTTAAAGCTATTAATGCATGTTACCTAAAATCTAGCAACTTTACTCCTATATGGGATTCCCATAAAAAATAAGTTGTAATGTTCACCAAAAGACAGGATGTTTGTATCTGTTTTATTCTTAACTTCCAAAAGTTGAAAATTCAACTGTCTGTCAACAGTAGACTAGAAAATAAATTATATACAACAATGAAAAAGAAGGTACTACTGCTACAGACAACATTATGGAATGTATGAAATATGTATATTTATATAAAGTTCAGAAAAACAGACAAAACTATGGCACTTCCATGGTGATAGAGCTAAAGTAGTGGTTACCTTTGATGGGAAGTAAAGGAGCCTTCTACTAGTATATTTTTATCTGAATGGTAGTTGCATGGGTATGTCTGTGGCATGAGTGTGTGTATAAAAATGTATTGAGCTCTACACATAAGATTTACTTACGTAAATCGTACCTCAATTTAAATTAAATTTTAAAGTATATTTAAACTTCTTTCTAGAATGATTTTCCCTTGGCTTTGATTTAGAAATAGCAGTCTGAGGCAACATAACTTGATCTTTGAAGAAATACCTGTTTTTAGTGTATATTAACCTAATAACTTCAATAAATTGATAATTTACTTATTCATTTGTTGAAGTTGTTAAGTACTTAGACTGGCCAGAAATTATTCTAATTTCCACCTTAGTTCAGGTAGCAGCAGTTTCTGTGAAATTTATTCTTTTTAAAATCAAGTATATTTTAGCTATATTTTACACATAAAATTCTCCCATATTGAGTAATTCACACAACTCAGTAATTTTCCATATATTTACCAAGTTACGCAGCCTTCATCATAAATCAGTTTTAGAATATTTTTATTATCCCAGTAAGACTTGTCATGTCTATTTAATGTTAATTTCATTCCCATCCAAAGCTCTAGGCAACTACTAATCTACTTTCTACCTCTATAGATTTACCTTTTCTGGACATTTTATATAAATGGAGTCATATAATCTGTGTTCTCTTATGTCTGTTATAATGTTTTTGAGTTTCATCCATGTATCAGAAGTTCTTTTTTATTGCAAATATTATTCAGTTGTTACAGCTATTATTACTACACTAAAGGCCCAGTGCACAAAAATCCATGTACTTGGGGGGGTTCCCTCAGCCTGGCCCGCACCCTCTTGCAGTCCTGGAGCCCTCAGGGGAAGTCCGACTGATGGCTTAGGCCTATGCTCCCCGTGGAGAATGGGCCTAAGCCACAGTCTGCCTCCTACCAGGTGGGCCAGTCAGGGAATGGCACTGGACAGTGAGTGGCCAGCCCTGCTCCCCCATTACCCCTTCACTGCCACAGGTTGCTGCCACTCCCTGATTGCAGTCTCATCCCTCTGCCTGCTTGCCAGCTCCGCGCCTCCCCCCCACACACACAGACTGGTCATTCTGCTGTTTGGTTTATTTGCATATTATGCTTTTATTATATAGGATTTTGTCCATTCACCAGTTGATGAATATTTAGTTTTTACAATTTTTTATTATTGTGAATAGTGTTGCTACAAACATTTATGTGTAATTCTTTGGATGGACATATGCCCTTATTTCTCTTGGATAGATACCTATGATGTATCATAAAGTAAATTTATGTTCAACCTTTTAAGAAACTGCCAAACTGTTTTCCAAAGTAGCTGTACCATTTTACATTTCCACCCACAGTATGGGGATTCCTGTTTTTCCACATCTTCTCTACCATTTGTTACTGTCTTATCACTTATTATAGCTTTTTGATTGGGTACGAAATATTATCTTCCGGTGGTTTTAATTTTAATTTTCTAATGACTAATGATGCTAAGCACATTTTATGTATTTATTAGCTATCATATATCTTTGATGAAATATCTACTCAAACTTTTTGCAATTTTTTATTGAGTTATTTGTCTTCTTATGTGAGTAATAATTTGTTGTAAATTCTGGATAAAATTTTTTATCAGATGTTTTTGCAAAATATTTTCTGTCACTTATTTTTTTCATTTCTTACTGATATATTTTTGGATCACAGAAATTTTAATGTGCGTCTTTTATGAACTGTGCTTCTGTTGTGCCCGCAACCAAGGGCATGTACCTTGGTTGTGGGCACATCCCCAGTAGGGGGTGAGCAAGAGGCAGCTGATCGATGATTCTCTCTCATCGATGTTTCTAACTCTGTATCATTGTTTCTTTATCTTTTTAATAGAAGTATGCCGATTATATCAAGTAACATGAAACAGTGATTTTTTTTTTCCTTTGCTATTGGAGTTTGTTTTAATTCAGGTATTGGAAAATACTTCTTGTGCATACTTAAATTGTTTTCTTCCCTCTTTTTCCTTTCCTGTCCCCCTCATATTAAAAAAAAAAAAAAAGAAGTGGGGCAATAAATAATATTAGCACAAATAATTCCTACAGACCTTAATTATTGATTTCCCTTTTACCAATCACAGTGGTCATCCTATAACACTGACTAAAAGAGATATTCAAATTCTAAGTAGTACTGATCATGCTTCTCCAAAGGAAAGGAAGGGTGAAAGCTAAATGCACCATCAGAAGGCAGTTAGTTCTGTCCTGGAGAACAGGAATTTATACTGACATCATACATATTGACTGTATTGAACAAAATATTTTATCAGATAATCATTTCTTGTTAAGTGTAATACAAACAGACCTACTATTGCCTACAAGGCAAGTCATACATCAGGGAATA